TCACAATCCAATCTCATGCATAAACCTAACACTAAACAACTAAACATAATAAGTATTTATACCCAATAATAATAATAATAATAAATGACTAAATTGCCTTTAGGCGTACAAATAACAAATTTTCCCTTAGGCTAAGCACTCTCGTAACATATTATTAAGGTGTGCAGGCCCAAGCCTTGGAAAATATGTATTAGCCATAAATTCCTTTTCAACCTCATATGGTTCAGTAATGGATAAGCGGCGAGCTACATTCCTCATTATTGGCAGTTTGAACAACAACAATTATCAACAAACCTTCAATGATAATCCAAAAGTAAGAAGCATCCTGACACCAATAGAAACTTCAAGTAACCATACTAGCCATCGCACAGTAAGATTCTTACGGTAGTGAACTTAAGACCACAAGAGAGTTTCAGTCGAGCGTGGTCACAAGTGATAGTAGGAAGCACTCCCTGTGTTAAGATCATAAATCGATAGAGGCATATCTATGTTCAAATCAAGGACAATGATGTAGAGGATGGACATTGATCCCTATTAAATCAAGATCGATAAGTACGGGTCTTCACGGCAACCAAATCAAAAATTGATAGCCCATCAACAGCTCATATGAGAAGTGATTCTTATGTCTCCAGCCTTCTACTAGGATTCTTACTGTGATTCTCATTTGTACTTCCAATAGTTGTCTAGTGTTTTAAAAGGAGAAAAGAGCAGTTTGGTGGAAAGCAAGAGGCATGAAATGGGATTGCAACATAGAACCGTGCATTTCTTCCTGCGGTTCCTAGAAATTTCAAGGTTGGCAAGGCAAGGGGAGAAGCATGTGAGTTAAGACATTAAAGATTGCATAATCTTCTATGAAAAGAAAAGTGTGGTCAATAATTTTTATTTTAATAAATATTTTTTATCCGTGATAGGGTTGGTGCAGCTCTAGTGACGAACAAAATTAGAGAATCATCTTAGATGGTCTGGTCACATTAAATGTCGACCATCTCATGATCCGATTAAAATGGTAAATGTATTAGATTAGACTTATGTTAAGAAAGACAGAGGTAGGCAGAGGATGACTTGGGTATATTGTATACAAAATGATCTTAACTTATTAGAATTAAATGAAAATATGACACTAAATAGGACACAATGGAGAAAAATGATTCATGTAGCCGACCCCACTTAGTGGAATAAAGATTTTGTTGTTGTTGTTGTTGTTGTTGTTGTTGTTGTTGTTGTTGTATTATTTCTCCATATAACTCACACTACCTTTTATGGATTTCTAAATAGTCTGCTTAAAAGTGGAGGAGTTTCCTAAGATGTATCTTAGAAGAAAAGATGCATCCAAGGGTCCATTTGGTGAAAGAAAAAGTTGAAATAATGGTGGAACGTTAAAATGGACATAAGTAAATGATAAAATGGGATAAAGTAAATATTATGAAGTCATACAAAGGGAAAAACATATTAAATAAAATATGACGAGATTGGCGAGGATAAATTCTTGGGCTTGGCATGTTGGCATTGAATGTTTTTTCCCTTATTTCTAAAATTTAATTCCATTCAACCAAACTTACAAGTTTAAATAAAGTTCAACAAAAGTATTCACCTGTGTATGTACTTTCAGATTTCATAACTATATGTGCTTCTCTTGAGTTAGCGAGTGACAAAAAACCAAAGTTAGCTTGAAATCAAAATATTTAGCTTGCTTCCACATTAATTATTTTATCATGAGAGTTGAGCCTTATTGAACTAAAATGGATGGCCTCCAAAAAATTTGAGGTCATTTTAATCCAATAAAAAATCATCAATTGCTTAATAATAGGTAAATATGTGTTCAAAAAGAAAATAATAATAGAAATATTAAATACAAACTCACAAACTAGGGACCTTTAAGAATGCTTTGAAGATTTAGCTAATAACTTAATATTCTTACCCTTTTGGCTGATTAAAAATTAAATTATTTTAATTGTCATATTCAGGTTCCCATTGGTTTACCCAATTTCCTTCATAATCATTTGATAATAGCATAATCCACAAGTCTAATGGATATATTTGTTGCCTGCTATTCAATATAGCACCGATACTTTTAAAAATGTGTAGTATTCGTGTCAAACGCATATCAGACACAGACACGCCCCTCACACTTCTTTGACACTACAAAAAATATATTTGAATTTCTTTCAAACCCAAACACATCCGGGAAACACCTCAACACCGCATCAAGATGAGCTTAACAAAATTTCAAGAAAATGGGACAAGGGAATTAGAAAACTATAAATAAACGTATAGCCTTAATTATATCTCAAAGTAGAAATCATCTCATCCCTCGTCATGTTGAAGGTCCCTCAAACATTCATCAAAATCAAGCATCAAAGGAGCATCCAATATTCGACGAAGTCAAGAATTAGTAATTCTCTCTTTGAAATCATAAATATTTTAAAATTTTAGTAGATAAGTTGGATTATAAGTTGGATGAATTCTTTTGAAACATATTATTTCTAATTTTAAAAATTAATTTTCAAAAGCATGAGATTTTATAATATAAATTAAATTTATGAAGTTAAATTTTATTCTTGCATAACTTACGTTGTGATATTTTTAATAATGAATAACATAAAAAATACATTTTATAATAATAATTAATTAAATATAAAGCATGTCTATGACATGTCGTGTCTTATTTTTTCAATTATGTTCTATCTCTATATCATTTCGTGTTGTGTTTGTGTCCGGTGCCCGTGACCACACTTCATAGCCACCACTACGTATCTCCAAATCAAAAACTAGTTTTCATTAGCTTCTCATTAGATGCCACTTCCACCATCCCTCTAGTATGAACATTCGAAATTTAACCTTTCAAGATTTGCCATAAATTCATGTTAACATTCTCATTTCTACCTCATTCAACTCAGCTACCAATGATTTCTCTATCTGCACTAGCCATACAACATAACTGGTCAAATTGAAATTTTATACATTTACCTTTGAGCTTCAATGATATTATCTTATCACATAAACTTTTGAAGTACTTCTCTTAACGGCATAAATTATATCATCATCTATATCCATAGTTTTGGGTACAATATATCTAAAAGCCTTAAATCTACCAAGGTTATTATCTTATCTAATAATATGATTAGCAAATAATAAAATCACATTAATTAAAACTTCATATCATATATTCAATATTCGTTCTACTAATCTAAGTCATTTGTCTTTAATATACTTACTTCATTGCTCCAACTTTTCATTTATTTTAAGTTTTCAACAATGATCAGAGAAAACATTGTCATCTTCTACAAACAGAGCATAGACGCCTCAATTTGAGTATCATTTCCAAGCATTTACATGATTAACAAAAAAAAATATATGAATTAAATGTTGATCTAGAAACAAACATGCTATTATGGGGTCTAATAATAGTCAATACTCTACAATCCACATCATTAATAATTTTAGCATACATATAACACTTTTTTTCTGCAACAACTTAACCATAGCATACATATGACACCTTTTTTTTCCAAAAATCAACCATAGCATTGCTTGATCAAGTATCTTCTAAAAATCGATAAAAATCATATGAAAATAGTATCTATACTATACACTTTTCTAGTAATTAACTACCAATAAAAATCATTTCCAATAAAAATTGAGGAAAAAAACTATTTTGTCAATTGAATATTGATGTAATATTTCTAACTTTATGCATTCTACTACTTTCTCCAATAACTTCATTGTACGACTCATAAATTTGGTTTACCCATCATTATCATAACCTTTAACATATTTTATCTTAAATATTCATCATAATTTCAAAATTCCATTGCAAATTTTATTAAGTAAAAAACTGCATGATCAACATAACTTTCTAAATCAAAATAGATATATTTGTTGAACCAAATTCTTTAACATTATATATCTTCATTAGAGCTAACTCTAATCCATATTTTTTTTAACCAATTTATGATAAATATCTCATTATTTTGTTCATTAAATTCTTCAAAAATATTTTTTTCTTGAAACTCGCATTTATTAATTTTTCAAAATGCCATTTCCACTTAATAGAAGTCCTCATAAATACCGTCTAAAAATTTGCAACTTCAGAAATTCATAATGCATGCATATTTCATATGTGCAAGATTAATCAGCTATTTATCTTCAAACGTATTCAACCAAATTCTATTTCATTTCCTATCATATGATTCACAAAATAGACAACATGACCCCTAACAACAATTAGCTTATCTAATTAACAATGACCGCAAGGAATTAAAGTGCAAGCAATCAAGATTTAAGGCCATAAATTGACATAAAAGGAGGAGACTCATGCTTATTTCTATGGGCATTTATGATTCATCGTGACTGTAGATATCAAGTACACCTTGAATCAAAGGAAATCGCAAAAACATTCACCACAAAACCACCAAAGAGGTAATAGCTTGGTGAAACTATTAGCAAATACTCTTAATCACTTTAATGTCAGTTTTGTTAGTCTTGCAAATGTTCAAGATAGGGCATAGATTTGGTGTTAATTCTAGTCCTGCCAATCTTATGCTACCATTCTTATCATCTCAGATTTTTTAGTTCTTTATGTAAAATCTACTCAAAAAGATAACTTGGTACCAAACATCAAGCTGAAGAAAGTATGAGATAAAATAAACTAACATCATTTTAGCAAAGTGAAGAAAATCCAAATCAACATTATTTGAACTGGAAGGATTTTGTAAATTATATTAAAAACTTTGAATGCTACTCATTAACTTTCAAAGAAGCATAAAATATGAGAAAGGTCCTATCTTATTTTGTCTTTACTTCATGCTTGAATCAACAAACAGTATACCTATTACGGTAATAGATTTCATATGTTGACGCAGCAAGTTAGGACATGAGCTACCACTAGAGACTCAATAAGTAATGCTTAACTGACACATTTTGACTCGTAGTAACAGCTTGATAGAAAAGTACCCAGCACAAGCATTAGGTGTTATACCATTTACTTTAACCATAGTTACCTGATAACCCTCAAGACCAATCTTCCCAAGCAGCCTCTTCGAAGCAGTAATCTCATCACAACTAAAACAACATAACAAAAAAAATCATAATCAACACATAGGAGACCATGATCTCCAAACCAATGCAATTTAGATAAAATAATACATACCTTCCATCCAAAACCTCAGGTGCAAGGATGCCAAAACGATCAATAAATTCATCAAAAGTACGCCTTGTAGGATAACCAGCACAGCTTATCCTAATAGCTTCCATAACACCCTATATATAGGTAGGGAAAAGAATTATAGTATTATAACATATTGCACATAATTCAAATCGAAAAAATGACTTACCCCGCATCTGAGCTGCTGAAGCACATTGTTATTCTCAAAAATTGCTGGTTTAAGAAGATTATTAGGCTTAACACAGCGTATGTAGTGAGGCTCAGTGGCACTCAAAGTTTCAAGCAGAGCTTGCAATTGTTGCTGTATGGCTAAAATATCAATCAAAATGCTATGTACAAAAAACCGAAAAGAAGAAATTACAACTATTGAATGAAAGTAAAATATCATTCCTTACTTTGAACCTTGAACCTATAGATGAGAATTTTGATGATTTAGCTGCTTCTTCAGCAAGAGTGGGGAATAGACCAGAAACAAAAGAACATTTTGAAGCACTCAAGAGTGATTGATGCTCTGCAATAACATAGTCTTTGTTCTTATCAAGAAATAACTCTGTTTGATAAGTGACCTGAAAAATAAAAAGAATGTAAGAGGAAGCAGGAACTGATGTTTCCCAGTGATAGCATCAAGAACAACCACTACTTACATCCCCAGCATAATGATGTATAGTAAAATCAGAACGAGAGAGCTTCGGTTTGCTGATGCGCTTATGATTTTTATAAGTCTGATATAACTTCTGGGCAAATGTTTCATGAGTTGACCTTGGCAACACACTGCAATTGAACACGAATTTTGCTCTTCAAAGTTTCAAAATAGACGTTTCAATTCCAGCACATACTAATTGGAATAATGCTAATGATGATGATGATGAAAATGATTGCAATAAATAAATAAACTTATACCTACCAAGCCTCATCAAGAAGAGCAATGATCCCACCTGGTTTCTGTGAAGTAAAAGATTTTAAGTTAAGACCCCGAGAAAATGGTTTGCATGGAGCTACTATAGAGATTTCATGGAACTAAGAAGTATAACACAGGGTTTCATTCATAAATTCTATGAAACATAATCCATCATGAAATGTTTTATTGAAAAAGGAACTTAATGCTTTGCTTTATACATAAATGAATGGTGAAAGTTGATAATGTTATGATCATTGCTTTCTAACATTGGATGGATTCCCACATCCAGAGTCAAATTCGTTATTTCAGGATTGTGCAGTTATTTGAAGCCGTTATGTCAACAAATAATATGCTCTCAGTTTGAATAAATAAGTGTTAAATATGTCATAATCTTAAAAATTAGAAACCAATAAACAATAAATAAATAAATAAATTCGGAAACAACAACCATGCAACGCAGAAGAGAAATTGTAGGAAACAGCTACAATGCTATGCAGGGGCAAGACTCCACACATAAAACTATGCCTAAACTTTGTATTGTCAAAAACTTCATGCTTCAAGTACAGCCCAAATGTTATAAGGTTTACGAAAAAGCACAGGAACAGCATTTAATGTTCATAGCAGAAATTACACAGTATCTAACTGTTTCAATTCTAGTATTAGCAGTTTCCGCAGAAGATAGAAAAGTAATGCAACATTTTACAATTTCCATATTTAAATTACATGATCTTTTTTTAAACAGTGCAAGTCTATGAACCTTTTCAATGAGGTCAAGAATATCCTGGTTGTCAATAAACTCGATATAACTCCAGTTGATTTCCTCTTTTGTATATTCTTCCTGCTCCATTTTGAAAACATGCTGTACAAGAAGAACTTGATACGTTAGAACTATATCAATGAGTGATAAAGATGAAATTAGCACTTCTATCCTTATTAAATCATTTCACATAAAAGATCAAATTAAGCGCTTGATATTCAAGAACTATATCATTGGGCGATCAAGAAGAAATTTGTACTTCTATCCATATTAAAACATTTTACAAAAGAGTAAAGAATGCAATCCAAAAGTTTCAAATAAATAAACCTGATTGAAATGTTGCTGGAGTTTTTCATTTGTCAAATTGATGCAAAACTGCTCAAAGCTGAAACAATTGAAAGCGTTAGAATAATAATGAAAAAATATCCAAGTTGACATAATAAATTACTTCGAAAGCTTTTACACACCAAAGATACCACAATTAAAACTTAAGGTTTATGTATAATGCCAGGCAACCTGCTCGATAAAAAATAATAAAAAAGAATTAAAAAAATTAAAAACCAAATCCACAATCAAACGAGAGCTATTATAGCACAAATTTCCCCACAATGTATTACCGTAAGGATACCACTAACAAGAACCTCTACATCAATCTAGTCCCAAATAATAAATTGGTTGCAATTATTTGCCTTATTTTGAAGACAAAATCATCAATTTGACCATTTTTATGAATAAATATAAAGGCGTACCGGTTAAGCACCTGTTTGTCTTGAAGCTTTCAAATCCATAGATGTCCAACACCCCAATCAGAAACTTTGAATGAGGATCTTGTCCAATGGAACTATTGATTTTATTTACAAGCCTGAGCAGAACCATGAGTTCGAAAAAAATTAAGCAAATCTTAATTTTACACAAGCAAAACCAACACTCCATGCCAATAAAGTCCATCAAGAAAACAAAAATGCTTACCAATCAAACAGGCGTGAGTAGATAACTTTTGCCAAAGCATCTCTACTTAGAACTGCAGCTTCAGGATTAAGGGTTTTTGTTATGTTCTCATCACGTGTTACAATGATACGTTGGCATAACGATTTCTCAAGGGCCATCTCATCACACCTAGAATATATCACATTACAGATTACAAAAGGTATATTCGTAATTAAATTGCTAAATACAAGCTAGTCTGAGAAAATTACATCAAAGACTATTACATCAAAAGATCAGCAGCAGTTTGTAGGTGGAACCATGATTTTTTGTCTTTTGGAGTCGATGAATCTGTTTCCTTTCCTTCAGAGAATTCAATATTGCCTAAATGTAGAATTGCAGCCACTACTCGAAATATGGCATCCTATCCAGGAATTGAGATAAATGAAGAGCAAAACACAAAGCATAAATCAATTATGTTGATTAATGATCACAATGATTACAGTTACCTGTTCCTCGGTACTGATTCCAACAACCTCCATTGCCCTTCTAGTTTGCAAATACTCTTTTGACTCATCCAAACCTTCAAGCTCGTAGCAGTTAGTCTGGTTAAGATAATGAAAGCTTCTTGGATTTGTCAATTTATATCTCTCAATGTCCTGAAATAAACAAATTGCACAAGGCTTATTTCATGAGCGGTATGCAATAAGCAAATAGATGTTCCAGAACCAAATATCTAGAAGCTAGCCATAAAAGAAAACCAGAAAAATCAGTAACTACTTCTGTGCTCAATTACAGCATTTTTAGAATAAAACTAGAAAAATCAGTAACTAGTTTTATACTCAATTAGAGCACATTTAGTAGTTTAGCTAATCAAAAAGTTAATAATTGAGTTAGTTTTCCAGAGGTTATTGCTCCAATCTTTTTTATGATCCAGTTGGAATTTCCAGAGGTTATTGCTCCAATCTTTTTTATGATCCAGTGCCTTCAATAAAAAGAAATTTGGGTTTTCCATAAGTTTAGCTCCCATTGGTTTTAGGGGGTGAGTGTGTTATGTTATCCATGGTTCATAAAACCAATCCATTGCGTGTTCGATGTGAATATCCTTGATAAGGCATGATGCTTGAAACATCACATAAGAGGATAGCTCTGTATTCAAATGTGAGACTTGCCTTTTGGTTTTGTTCACTCTTCTTTTTTGCTTCGTTCTATCTTTCTTTTTGCTTCATTATTTCTCTAATCTTCCCCATTTTGTTCAAATTTTGGGAGAGACTTAAAAGTATGATTGGTTTTACTAGGGTGCCTTAGATTCCAATTTCTTTTGAAAGCAGAAAATCTATCTTGGCTGCACTTTTAGCACCCATATTTCTTATGGTTGAATTCCATTATCAAAATCGATGATTGAATTTCAATTTCTCACCATTCATTATCAAAAAGAAACCGTAACTAAATCAGATAGATTGCTTCTCAGAAAATTTTGCATTTTTTATTGCATTTACTTTTGTTTAAAACCTAAAAAAATAAGTAATGCATTTCCATCTGTCTAGCATTGCACTCCATTACAGATCAAATATACATATTAAAAGCCTAAACCGTAGAACATCAGCCAACATTTTCTTCCACCTATAAGCAATGCCCAATCTTGCCCAATTTAGCGAACAAACTTACTGAAAATTAATTAAATGTTGCAATTTAGCGAACAAACTTACTGAAAATTAATTAAAAGGTTCCATACATTGCCCAATCTTGTTATTCTTCAGTCATCATTCAAAACAGAAAGTTCTTTGTTACAAAAAAGACATTGACATTCCTTTTCAAGGCCAAAAAAAAGCAAAACATTACAGGGAATGTGGAGTCTCATTGTTTTAGTCATGGATTGCCATGCTCAAGAAATGGGAATATCAAAAGGCCCCATCTAAGCAATCTTCCATGGGTTCAAAACCACCCATCCAAATGATGAACTAAAAATAAACAACATTGCCGCCATAACACTTGCTTCTGACAAAATTTGCATAAATCACATGAACTTGATCTCTCCTGAAATAACTAATCAAATTGGGTCATTACCCATGCGAGTTTTAATTTAGTTGACTGGAGGAAAATGCGGGAAATAAGGAGAGCAAAACCAAAAGCATGGAAGCAACGAGTATATGTGAAGCAGCTTAACAGGAAACTACCTCCGGTGGAGCAGCACAAAGCATGTAAAAGCAGTGATAGTTTCTCTCTGGATCAGATACTTGACAAACACGAGATCTTTCGAGCAGGTAAGTCCTTATAGCTGCTCCAGAAATCTTACCCCTCTGATCAAATTGAATCTCAACAAATTTTCCAAAGCGACTGATGATGAACATCAACCAAATAAATTAATGAGCAATTCAGATCATAAAAAGAGATGTATTTATTCAATACTATAATTACAGCAACAGTCTACAAATAATTCCATAATGACAGATTGACCACCTTGAGTTATTGTTTCTGACTGTTTTTGCATTCCCAAATGCCTCAAGAACTGGATTTGACTGCACAAAGGTGGCCAAGATAAAAAAAATAAATTTTTCAACTAACAGAAAAAAAAGAAAAATTATAAAAGCATGATATAATTTTAAATATAGTGCCAACACTGACTGCTAACCTCAAGAACTTTTTGCTCTATAGTTCTCCCTTCAGCTGCTGCTCTCCCTCCCATGTAAGCAAGATATCGCATAAGCATTTTGGTACTTTCTGTTTTTCCTGCACCACTTTCTCCACTGACAAGAATTGATTGACTTACACCCTCATTTATCATAAGCCTGCAAAAAAATGGACACATTCCTTACATATATACCATATAAAAATACATTATGTAACATTCCTCGTACTAATCTAGATACCTGTATGCAGCATCAGCAACAGCAAACACATGGGGGCTTAACTCACCCAATGCTGCCCCTTTATATTGTTCCATCATATGTGTATTATAAAGATGGGGAAGTCTTCGAAAAGGATTAACAGCAATCAATATGCTGCCTGTATAAGTCTGCAAATGAAAATTAGAGAAATTACCTAACCCGTTATGGTCTGGAAATTTACAAAAGCTACACAAAATCATGCAGTGGAAAATAGACATGATAAAATGAATATTTTTAGGTGAAAACTCACACAAATTGTCAAAAATGGCCTATTTGAAACAAGAGAACAAATAACTATGAAACATGATATCATAATTGAGATTCATTTGTCAAAATCTACTTACATAGATCTCGTTCATGTCATATCTTGACCGTAGATTCTGTAAAACACCTGGCTCGTGCAAATATGCTAGCTTGGTCATGTCATCGACGCCGCAAGGTGATGCTTCAGCATCTTTAGGGAAAATATTAGATACCTTAGCATTCACCTACAAAGAAAGAAAAAAAAAATACTTCAGCGTTATAGACGTGATGATGCCTAAGGTCCATATTAAGTAGAAAATCAATAACAAAAGCAGAAGGTTTGCATACATACCACTTAATTCCTATGTATTAACATACCTAACACCTAAGCTTCAATTTTTACACACATACTGCTTTACTTTTGGATGAAAAGGTTCATTTCACACTTTAAAAGTTAAAATAGTGTTATTTTTTATGTGATATAAAAGATTTGGGCAGTATAAATGTAAACATGAGAGTTTTGGCATTAGATATGTAAATAAACAAGAATTTGATTGTACGTATGTAAATGCCCCTAACAAGAATGCGTGATTGAAACTCCAGCAAGAATTTTGGCATCTATTGGCTAAAACAAATTTAAACAGGACCAAAAACAATCCATTGATGTAGCAAAGTCACAGCTCTTCAGCAAGTAAAGATGTTCACGAAAAGGAGCAGTCAAGAAGAATGCTAACCCTAATCATCAGCCATGAATCCTTACCGTCTTTCCAGAGGTGCAGCTGACCTTCACCTCATTACCATTAACTTCCAAAACCTCACCGTCCACCCAACAATCATCAGGATCCACAACCCAAACCTGTGATCCTACTGCAATGTTTGCCAGAGTAGCCTACAATAAAAAGCCAATGAGTTGTCATACATACAGGCACAAAAATAAAAATAAAAAAATAAAAAGGAAGCAAAATGAAAAAAAACAAAAAAAAAAAAAACGAAACAGTTATCGCACACAAAGTAATAAAAAAAGATAATTTTGGAATTGTATCACAGTTTAATCACTAAGATCTATACATTTATATTCAGAAAATTCAGATTCTCCGAACTTCATTAACTAATCTACTGAAAGCGAGCTAACCAGGTATCATCTCGGCCGCATTCAATAAAGAAAGATAAAAAGACTTCATTTTTATGTACATAATCAAACTCGGACAATAAAAAAAAAAAGGAATTGTCCTTCCAAACATCAAAACAAAAAAGAATAAACTGGAGCTCCGTCTTATTGAGATCAATTTACTCTTTATTCCCTCCGATTCTCTGCAATAAGCTGCAAAAACCCGCCTCCACAGGTTGCAATCAAAACACTTGTAAATTCGGATAATAACATTGCAAAACAAGTTAGTCAATACCATTTCAACCCCGAATCAAACGGGCGATCTCGGACTCCCCTCAATCCAATTTCCCGTCAGACCATGCAGAACACAAACAGCCAACAAACCCGTAGCTATATTTCAAGATCCAACTCCAAACTATCCTATTCTCCGCAACGTACACAAAGTCTCCGCCTTTTTTCTTCCAGATTCAACAACCCCTCTCTAAACCTTAATCACGCCGAAAAAACAAATTCTCTCTTCTATTACAAGCCCTTCGCCTCCCTCTCTCCCTCCCTCAAAAAAGACGGCGCAAGCGGCGGCGGCACAGGATAGA